GGGGGGGGGCCCAATGCATCACAGCTACAGAAACTATGTTTTACCCAGACGCACTCAAGATTACTCCATACATTAACTAATGCAGCTGTTTATGGAATAATTTGGTTTTTAACTTCTGTGCACAAAATCATGCAAAGAAGAATTATAGTAGTACTTGTATTGCATCTTCTAGTCTGTAGTGCTGGGAGGTGTGGAGGAAGCTCAGAAGCTGGTCTGGGGCGAAGCGGCACATTAAATCCAGCAGGAGCTCATGGAGGTCGCCTTCTTGAGGTAAGATGGACCCTGAATGAGGGCCTTCCCTGAGGAGAGCAGAGGTGACCACATAAGGAAGAAAAGAAGAACATAATTAGGTGAGAGAGAGAAATGCAGCATCTGCAAGTCGCTGGCTTCTGCTCATGTCCAAGTGATTTTCATTATCAGATGCTGAGCACACCCACAAAGCTCTGTGCAAACATTTGCGTGCCTCCCAAACTTTTCTGACGACACACTCACAGCTGGACAATTTACACGGCACCAACTATGCACCTGAGGTGGAGGACTTAAACTGGAGTATAACAGCACAACTACTTGGCAATAACATCAGAGCATAATCAAAGCTTAAGGCGGCAGATGGTAAAACGCACACCGTACCGTGGCTCCAAGAGGCAGTTGAGGAAATTGAAAAGCAGCTGATCATCCTTGAGAGAGAGAGAGAAGAAGAATATTTTACATAATCACTCAAAAAAGAGGAGAATATCAGAGTATAAAGCACCAATATGTCCTATTAGAAAACAGTTTCTATGCATTTAACCTGCTTTGATGGTAAATGGACCGACTATATAGCACTTTTCTGCTCTCCTGAAGCACTCAAAGCACTTTATACAACAGGCCTCAGCTAACAATCACACACCGGAGAGCGACTTGGGGTTAGTATCTTGCCCAGGGATATTTGGCCTGCTGACTGGAGCAGCCAGGGATGGAGCCACCAACCTACTGATGTGATGGAGACCATTGCTTTCTCTTTATCCCTGCTGAACGATCTTTTTTCTAGTTTTGCTTTTCTAGGCTGTGTCCCAATCCAGGGTCTGCAGCCTTAAAGGCCGCATTTTAAG